CAACATTTTTGGACTCTTGATTTAAAATAAAGAATCAAAGTCGACAAGGCAGTACCAGAGATATTGTCTGTTTTATCCTCCACTTCCTTTTTCCTCGTCAAAACCTGGCGCCTACACTACCCACAATGCAACACTTTGATGTGCAGAATGTGCAATATTTCAATTTCAGGTGAAGTATTTTAGTTACATGTGTAGTATTTCACTTTCCTGTACAACATGGCATTGGAATGTGCAGTATTTCCTCATCATGTGTAATATTTTACTACTTTACTGTTTTGCTGTTTGGCATTACCTGTTACTTTTCTATTCTAATGTTGTTTTAGTTTAATTATTTTATTTTCAGTGTCATACTTATATCTGATTGATTTTTTATTGGGCACTGAGTGTCCTAATGTTATGTAATTTTGGATACAGGATATTTCTACTTGATCTGCTTTGGAACAAGGAGCAAAAGCAGCAGTCTTTGTTGTTTGTTTGGGTTTTTTTGTTTGTTTGTTTGTTTGTTTGTTTTTTATTCATACTGTGTCTGTGTGTGATCAGTCTGGTCGGTTTACAGATTAATTCTGTTCTGAGTTTGTCCAGTCACTATAAATGGAATTTTGCAAGTTTGAAGGTCAAATGCAAAACTTTCAGACAACTTTCCCTTAAGGTTTCCCATAATAGTAGTAGTATTATGTATGGCAGTAGCATCAGAACCAGAGACTTAAAGAAACTAAACAAGCTGATCAAGAAAGCTGGTTCTGTGCTGGGGATAACTCTGGAACCACTGGAGCTGATTGTTCAAAAAAGAATGCTGCACAAGATGATGAAGATGATGGAGGATTCTTCCCACCCTCTCCACAACACAGTGTAGAATCAACAGAGTGTGTTCAGTGGGAGGCTGCATCAGTTTCGCTGTAGAACGGAGAGATACAGGAATTCATTCCTGTCAACAGCCATCACCTTGAAGAACAAATCTGACTGACTGACAATTGACTGACTGAATGATTATTATTATTGTTGTATAAAATATATTTTATATTGATTTTTTTTTTTTTTTAAGTGAGCTTTTACAACATTGAATTTCCCTTCTGGGATAAATAAAGTATTTTTCATTTCATTTCATTTCATAATAACCTTGAGGGAACCTTCACAGAACCCATCGCAAACCTTCAGAGAATTTTCAGTGAAGATCCCCTAAAAAGTTTCCCAGAGTGACCTTCAGCCTTCCTCAGAGAACATCCCTGAAGGTTATCTGTGAAACCTTCAGGAATAATTCACCAAAATTTATCAAACACTTAGAAGAACCTTCATGGAACATTCCCAGATTGTTCACTGAAGGTTCTGTGTTGCCAGGAGTACAAACACAACCGCTACTCTTGGGGGAATTGTGATGAATGGATAGCGGCTTTTCAAAATAAAGCTCGTCGACTTCTTTTATTATTTTTATCGGGAGGCTACAAATGCACACGTTGTTAAGTGGGCTCTGTTCCCTGCGCTACATTTTAAATCTACAACTTCGGCATCTTGTCCAAGTCGAGAAAAATGTTCAGTTTTGTTTGACGTTAGCTCCTCGTCCATAGATATGTATAATAAAGGCCAGATGTCTCGTCCGCGCTGCGGCCAATAGAATCGCACAGCCACACTGGCGGCCATCTTGCCACAGTCACCCATAACATTGTGTTGTCATGGTGCATGTACTTTTTAAATAATCATAACTTGCTCAATGTTCTGCCGATTTCCAATCGGTTTGGTTTGTTATAAACGTCAGAGGTGTAGTTATCACACTGTACTTATGGATAATTAAGCTACACACTCACGGCCAGCAACAATTTGCATTTTAATTATTTTGGGTTTTTTTTTTGTATTTTTGTAATTTGAATTGTAGCCACGTTAATAATGTTTGTAAGAAACCAAACCGTTTGTAAATCCGTCAAGATTTCAGTGAGATAAGAGTATTTACGTTTGTGCAGATCACTCACCTTCATTCACTTACCACAGGTTCCACCAGAGAGCTGCCCCGTACCAAGATGGCCGCCGGTGATCCCGTTCGAAACGCCGCCCTAAGACATCTTGCCTTTATTATACATATCTATGTCCTATACGCTAAGATGCGCGCTTTATTTTGAAAGGTGTGACCGGACGTTTGCGGGCCGTACTCCACCCTTGACGCAGCGGGGCAATAAGTAGGTGAAAAGTGGCAGTACGGGGCCAGTTAATCATTTGAGACTCTTTGTTGGCGGAAGACGGAACTTTTTGCTGCCGAACACAAGTTTTAACGATGGTCCTGAATCAGTGTCGACTCGCTCTTGTCAGATTCAACCAGCCGGTGAAGTGGAACGAAAGTACTTTTACCCGAGATGGAGGCTTCGTGACCGCTCCGTGGGGTGTCTGTTCACCCGTGCCGAGGCTGACAGGTGTCCGCACCTCAGCGGGTTTCATCTCTCCATCTTCCAGCAGCTCGGAGAAGCCGCCATCGAGACGGAGACTGACGGTTTCCAACCTTTCTGCTGCAACACAGACGACCGTCAGAGGTTCGTTAAAGTTACAGCTCCTATAGTCAGTGAACAAAGTGTGTAAATTAAACTTTAAAGCTGCATATGTGGCTGAACAACCACAGCTTGTGTCTGCAGACAGCGACACAAACTTATTAAAACCGCACTAATTTTAATGTGCTTCACTTCTTGCATTGACAGAAGCGAGCCGCCTAATCACGCGAGACTATAAAGATCCCATTTAGCTGTGTTTTGGGAGCAAAAGTGAAACCTGTTGGCAGTTTTTACAACTAAATAGCACCACAGCTTTACAAGCCACTGAGAACTTGAAGTGCTACACATTGAATCAGCAGTAATGCGGCTCAAACCGTGTATATTCCTGCTCTTTCTGCCAGGTGCCTCCAGGTGAATCATTCAGAATGAGTGGCAGCATGACAGCCAGCAGGTTACATAAGTTTTAGAGCTGCTTCTGCTGAGCACACCTAATGTTCTGATGTTGGAGTGAACACAAGAGCCTCCATGCACTCCCAGCATCTGAGCAACGCTCACTGGATTACTATTATTATTAGAAATGTCACCAAAACAATTGGAAACCCCTCCCCTGTACGGCTAATGTGGCTAATGCTACCATTAGCTTTGCCCACATGTCAGAACTCTGTCTAAATTCTGAAGATAACAGGAACATGAAGAGTGATTTGAAACCAATAAACATAACATTCTGGGTTTCTGTGTTTCATGTTGTGCTTCAGTGCAGCCTAAACTCAGCTGTTGTTTACCTCTGGTTGCTTCTCTCCTGCCCTCTGTGCACACATACTGTGTTTTAATTCAACCAAATTCCCAACAAAGCTGTTCTCGTTCACATGTTTTTCTGTTTCTGTAGTCAGACAACCGAACGAGTATGAAACGGTGGCCGAAACCCATTAACTCTACATGTTAACAGTCACTTCATAGCCATTCCTGAGCTAACTACTGATTATATAACCGCAACGTTGTCTGACCAATTCCCCGTAAACATGAGTTTAAAACAACAGCCGTGGTGAGGATTTTAGAAGTTAGAAGTGATTCACGTTGGCGTTGGCCGCTGTGTCATCAGCGCCTCAGCTGTATTTAAAACTACTGACACTTGTGGTTTTGTTTGTTAAGCGCATGACTTACACCAGGGATTATACAGTCATAGTAAAGTGAACCGTCTTTGTAGTATTTTCCTCTGAATGATTAGAACAAGTTTTGGGGACACGTGAGACTTTTTTTTTTTTCTTTTACTCTTCATTTCGAACCAAAAATTTAAAACAAAAGTCAACATTTGATACACAAAATCAAAGTTTCAAAGTTCGAAAAGGGTTTTAGAAGAAGTTGAACACTTATATACACCAAAACTCTTCTGACAATAATAATTTAAATATTGACACTTTCACAGTGTCTCATCAGAATATTAAGCACATTACACAACACACATTGGTGTGATACCTCCTCAAAATAAATCATATTACACAATTACATTGAATTTAATAAGTCTCATTAATGGCAGCATATCTTTTACTTATATCAACTCTAATCAATTTGCTGAAAAGTGGCACTGTGGTGGCTATTTGACCTGAGATGAATACTCAAAATAAAAATCAAATTATCAAAATAAAACAACATCAAATCAAACAGCCACTGAGACACCTAGGGAATTAATTTACACAGAGAAAATAAGTCCATTTTCCAGGCAAAATTGTAAAGTTTTCGGTTTATTTCCATTGCAAGCAAACGAACAATGTCTCCTGCCACCTCTCTTGCTCTGGTTAAAAAACCATTTGGAACAACCAGCAGGGCCCCACCTGAGGATCTAAAGCTGCCAGCTGGCTCATGTGGAGTCAACATTGCAGTTCCATAACAAACAGGAAGCCGGTGGATAGACGTGGTGTTGTAATGTGATGCTAAAAGCCAAACAGCTGTGTTCAGAATTAGTCAGAGGTCGGTACGGTGGCCAAGGATCAGCTCTGAGTTTATGATCTCTGGTTAAGCTTAGATCTCAAATAGTGCACCCAAATAATGCAACAGCCTTCACATAAGCAGACAAGGAACCAAGGCTGCTTTCAATTTGACTACTAGAGTATAAGTTCCCCAATAGGAACCTTGGAAAAGGAACCAATGTGTTGTATGGCAAGTGTTTCCCTACTGTGGTCACAAGGGCCAGATTTGGATGGATGGATATTTAAACTTGGCTACGAAAGCCCATGTGCATTTAGTGATATGCATTAATTAGTCCAGCCTGGATTAGGCTGGACTAATTAATACATTTGGACAGTTTCTTTAATTTGTGTTAATACAGACAGAACAGAAGGCAAAGTAAAGACGACCAAAGATTACTTGCAGCCACAGATTCTTGTCAACACTTGCAGATCAGTGTTGGATGTTTCTAAAGTCAAACCCTGATGTTAAATCCAAAATGTTTTCATAATACCCCTACCCACATCCCACACTGTGTTCACATAATAGTCCCATGTGCCCTCCATTTTTCCAGGTGTGTCACCCTGACGGCGTTATTGCTTCTTACGTAGGAACCTTTATAAATCATCTAAAAAATGGTCATTATGCTGGAAATGTATAGATTTTGGTTCCGTCTGTCTGGACTCAAACATTTTTTCCCAACTGCTCTTTATATGCAGGTCCTCTGAAAGTAAATATAAAAGTAGTGTGAAGGACTATATACATATATAAATAGTTCTATATATGAAATAGAAATTTTAAAGTATTTCCTAGCTACTATTTATTGCCGTTTTTACAATATGAAAAAATGAAATACTGCAGCATGTAAAGCGTGGCGATAAAAGAAAGAATGTAAGAAAGTGTTTGCGTCATTTACAAATCTAAATTACATTAATATTTCTGCTTAAGACACAGCTTTATTAAAACAAATATTTATTCAAATTTACCTCTTACGTCGCGTTTGTACTATATGCTCTCTCTTAAGGAAAGCTACAAGACGTCAGCTATGTTCAGCAACAGAAAAATATTCAGTTTAATTCTAGATGGTGTTCCAATAAGTGACGTCTAGCTGAAGTTGCAAAAAAACAAAAAAAAATATAAGATCTGTCTAAGCTTACTGTCCAGGTATCACTAAAACCTGAATATGTCTTTATTCCAGGGCTGAGCACCTCTGTCAGAGCTCTCCAGTACGATCTGAAACCATCCATACCAAACTCTGAAGGCCGGAAGCTGTTTTTCGATACGCATGCGGTGGTGCGACTCCTCGAGGACAACGGTTGGTTTCTTCTGTCAAACATAAATCTCCTTCGTTAACACCGTGCTGTGCTGATTCCTGGTCTGTATAAACGTGTTCTTTCCACCGACAGGCTTCACCACGCAGCAAGCTGAAGTGTTGGTTAGAGTGCTGGTGACGATGACAAACTCCAACATGGACATCATTTATAACGACATGGTCACCAAGGTGCAGCAGGTGAGTCTGGAGGAGGAGGTTTATTGTCTAGTGAGCGCTGTGTGCAGCCACCAGACACTCAAGCCTGTGTCTATTTCTGTAAAGGTCACTAAGCCAAGGTCATTGTGTTTAACTTCCACATCATACTTATGCTATGAAAGCACGAATAACTTTGAATATAAACTGCAAGAACATATGGAAACCTTTGAGTACGAAGATCTGATTTGAGATCCCAGTCACAAGAATGTCTGAGGAATAAAGAGAATCAGAGCCATTAATTCACCTCTTTGTTCCATCACTTTCACCAGCTGAGGATTTTAACAGTGTTGAGACTGATTAATGCGTCAACAGAAAAACGAATCTGATTCAAAAATTGCAATTTAAAATAACCGTTAATTCCGGACTATGAGCGCACCTGAATATGAGCCGCACCCACTAACTTTAAAAAGAAAACAAGTTTTGTACATATACAGGCCACACTTGTCTACAAGCTGCAGGTGTCCACGTTGTACCATGAGATATTTACACAGAAAGACTTCTTAAACTTTTAATTAAATACGTACCAGTAACATACACAAATACGTAAATGCTTTTTTACAAACAGTGCCTGTAACACTGCTGGTTAAGAAAATAAAAAATACAGTCGCCTACCAGGAAAAGCTATTGATCGCTATCTTCATCTTCCTCCTGCGCACTAAAACCACTAAATTCGGAGTTGAACAACCTCAGAATCACTTCATCACACACTTCCTCAGTCTCTCTTTCGTTGTCGCTCTCAATGTCACTTGTGTCTCGAGGCAAATTCGTAAAAATCCACAAATTAGCCACATCAATGTTGAAAGTGTGTGGAAAAAAATAGCAGCTTATAGTCCAGAATTTACGGTAATTTTTTCTTTTCTCTCAAGAATGTTTTCATTTACACTTCAAAAAAAGACATTCTGGAAATTCTTACCCGTTACCGTCCTCCTTGTAGCTTCAGGATTTTGTGCATCTTGCTCTGTGGTGCTTTTTCCTTCTGACTTCTGTCTTGTGTGGTTTTGGCAGGAGATCATGTTGCAGCGTGTGATGTCTCAGATTGCAGCTGTAAAGAAGGACATGATAATCCTTGAGAAGAGCGAGTTCTCTACTCTGCTGGCAGAGAATGAGGTAAACGTGTTAACCAGGTAGCTCAGGCTGTTCCCAGAGAACAGTTGTTGTATTTAAGCTCATTGCTGTTCGTCCCTGAAGTCACATCCATGTACACAAACAGCAGTCACATAGTTTGTTGTGTTTGACATTCAGTTACTAAAAGTCAGCCAATAATAATACATACATGTAAATGGTTGTACCGTGTATTTGTGTAACCATTTCTTTATGATTTATGTCAGTATTTTCACTTTTTTTCTCCCAGAAACTCAAGATCCAGTTGATACAGCTCAAGGTCCAACTGGCTGTAAGTGATTCTTGTCATTTACTTTAATCAGTTCCTGTTTAAACTGCAGAGCTTTATTATTGAATTTATCTTCATTAATAGCATGTATTTAGTTTTCTTTGACTTAAGTTGACTCGCATGTCATCAGTCACCATGTTTTGCTTTCCTTTGTGCGCCTCCTTCACCACGCTACAGGACGTCATGAACACTGTGCGCTCAGACACCATTCTGGACATGAATTTGGAGAAAAGTCGAGTAAAAGAACTGGTAAGTTTCTGATGCTCAGCCGTGGCACAGAGTGGTTGTTTTTCTCATCATCTATCATAAAAAAAAACCCTATTAACATCAACTGGGGATTTTTAATACAATATCGTTTATGTTTACAGAAAGCAGAGCATGAGAAGAAGCTTCTAGAAGCACGGACTGAGATTATGGAAATGGTTTGTATATTTGCAGTGTTGTCATTGATATCAACGTAATGTATAATCATGTATTGATTTGGCCTCGTTCATAGTTCATAAAGGTGTTTACCCTGCTGTAAACATGCAGTCTGGTGGGATTGTAATTGAGCTTTTCTTTTCTTTTTCTCTGCCTAATTTCCTTTTTGCAGACTGCAGAACAGGATCGCCATTTGACTCAGACAAACATGAAGATAGACACTGAAGTGGCCGGTTTGAAAACCATGTTAGAGTCTCACAAACTGGACACCATCAAATACCTTGCAGGTAGGACAAAGCACTCGGTTGTTTCAGTCAGCAATTGTAGCCTGAGGACACGTTGTCTTCTTTTTTTAGTGGGGAAGAAGCTTTTTTTTTTTGTCTTTAAATGGGATCACAACAAGGTACATGTTATACTGCACATCTCAATCATATGAGTACAACTGGTGCACTTTAAAGCACTTACTTAAATACGTTTCAGTTCATTGTTTTGCTAATTTCACAGCTCTAATTTAAACACACATTAAATAACAGTTGATGACACATTTAGGAGGATACAAATGAAGTCAGTAAGAGTCACAGAGACTCTCTAAAGCCAGCAGACTGATGATTTCTGTATGTTTTTGTTTGTCTTTCAGGTTCAGTGTTCACCTGTCTCACTGTGGTGTTGGGTTTCTATCGCATCTGGATGTAAACGGATGCTGATTTATACGACCTGTGGTAACACTTAGATGCATCCTCACAATTGAACAAAATGCAAAGACGAGTCGTCGTTTCCGTCTGACCTCACTTTGTTGGATTTTACTGTTCAATTTTCTCAGAAATAGGAATAATGGAAGAACAGCTCTCCCACCTGGTCACTGGTGGACATTTTGGATTCATGATCCCTTTGGCCATTTATTTAATTATTTTTTTGTTCCTTTGCTATTCCTGAGCTGCTGGAACAAAGCTGAACAATGCACTTATTAAAAATGTTGTATGTTTTTATTCAGATGAGAAGTCACTTTCTCCATTCATGTCATGCACACGGTTAGATATTGACCTCCCATTCAGCTCATGCTGTTTGAAGCTAAACTATTTTTTAATGCCATGCATTTTTGCTCTGTATATATTTTCAAGCTCTGGATACTGGAGAGAAATTTGAAGGTGACTCTGACTGTTAACCACTCTGGTATACGAATACGAACATTTAACTTATATTAAATCGTGTTACATTGTTGGACAGATATTATTTATTATTTGAATGAAGTTAATTGTAAATAAATGTAATCTTTGCAAACGTATTGTTTCTGTTGATGGTGTTGTGTAAGGTTTTATAAGTCTTGCTGAAACACATGATTTATTGTATTGTGTCTTGGTTTCAAAATCTTAAGCAATAAAGTGATAACAAGCATGATATTTGTTCTGTGTGTTGCAACTCAGTGACCTGGAAGTGTATTTTTGTAATGCTATTCTTTCTAAGGTGAGCAGTGAGTAATTTTCAGGGGAGAGTAAACATTTTCCACAAAAGCAAATGGAAGATGTGATCATAAACTGATTGCGTGCTTCTTGTTAATCTATGCTTGGATTAAGCTGTTTCAACATGCAAATACACAAAACGTTGTCTGTGGTGATGGTAAAGGTGTGTCTTTGTGAAAGTTAAGCATTTCTTGTACCTGAAAAAAACTATGACCAAACAAACATTGAAGAATTTCAGATGATTACAGACAATAAAATGGTGTTCTTAAAAATGTTTAAGCCGCAAGTGTAATATTCTTGTTTAGACTGTAATTAACATGATTTACGGGTGAGTTTTTAGATAATAAAAATGTATCATGTAGCCTATAATCTTTAAAATTTCAGTCACAATCAAGGAGTGGGTGGAAAACTGCATTAATTGAGTTGAACTGGTACATTAAAGCTATTTCAACAGGTAAAAACAACGGGATTTTTTAATATTCTAGGGCTCACAGCAGGTCAAATAGTTTGATTGTTGCTCCTACTGACGGATCAGCGTTTAGCAGATGATCTTTTTTTTGCTGTAAGGCGGGTGTAAGGAAATTCACATCGGCTTTTATTTTGAAAATCACTTGACATGGAAGTGTTTTTGTTGGAGCTGCTGCGCTGCTGGTCGACACGTGTGTAGCTGTCAAAGTGGGATTAACAAGTCAACAGCTACCTATATGACAACGAATTGTACATGTGAGTAGCAACACAAGTCCAGAGCTTCATGAGGAGTAAACAGTAGTTTGTTTATTCTAACGACATACAGTAAACATACATAAACAGCTAGCAGCTAGGCTAAGCTAACAGCTAGTAAGTGTGTTGTTATCTTGTAGTTAAGTTCCCTGAAGGTTTGTGTTCATAGAATTTTACAAGAAAGTCTATTTTCTTTGGTAAACACAACCCAGAAGTGTCATGTTTGTGTTAGCTTGGCTGTTAAATGTAGTTTATTGTGTTTTTGCAGACACCTCTGAGTGTATCCTATGCAGTCATGGCTGATGCGTTCAGCAGCAGCTCGGAAACCGTAATTCAGCGAGTAGTGGACGTTACAGTGAAGACAAACACCCCCGTGGAGAAACTAGAGGAGCTGTACCAGATTAAGAAGACTTGCGACTTCATTACTGAGCATCAGTTTCAAAAGGTGGGTGACATCAGTTTACTTTTTCCTTTCTAACAGGATTCAGGACTTCTGTTCACACGAAGGAGGGCAGAAGAATTACAAAAAAAAAAACAGGGGCATAAATAATCCAAGTTCAAGGCGACACTTAGTGTGTGTTTGAAAGGTAAAAGGAACTAATTTCAGTGGGTTAGGGGCATTAAAAAAACCATTATCGCATGTTCATTTGCACCTTCTACAGTGCGCCTTCAGTGACTGGACCTGGATTTTTTTTTCATTTTATTTTTGGGTTGTAATTTTTCCACCGTCCTTTATCATTATTCATGAGGGACACCAGCAGCACTTCTGACACTTTCCCCAAATGCTTATATACATGTTTTAGGAATATTTTTGCATTATAATTATTGTCTAAAACGGTTCCTTTTTGCAGGTTGCTCTGCAGTTTCCTGATGAGCTGCTGGTTGATTCGGTTGCAGTCTCGGAGGAGATCCAGAAAAACAGTAATGCCACGCCATTTATTTTGGGAGATACGTCCTATGGCAGGTAACAAACCCAGTTTAAGTACTTGTTTTTACGATGCTCATGTGCT